TTACATATTAAGAAACGCTCCAGAGTTGCCAATATTTTCAGCAGATAGTCCATGTCAATCGGCCTCAAAAATACCTCTTCCTTTGCCCCAGCCTCCAGGTTCCTCTTAACGATAGCTACACTGTGCTTGTAAACATCTTTCTCCTGAATGGCAGCTGCTCCCGATGTATGGACCAGGCGACTGATCAACGTCGCGACCAAAGGGCTGGTGAAAGGAAAAACATTTAAACTAGTCACAGACCATAGAAGCGACCAGCGAGTCCAAAGGAAGCCAAAGTAGCCTCTCCCTCGGTCCACGATATAGCGTCGGCGAGGGGTAATTAAGGGAAGCAAGGCCCACCGGAGGGCATGGCAGTTTCCGTGACATGGTGCTTCTGGAACTCACACCGAGCTCGGTGGAGCGAGGGCTCTACAAGTTAGAGTGTATCCTACTCAAGAGCAGTCGCCGGAAAGCATACAAAAGGACTAGTGAGTGTGGAACCGAAGTGACGGGGCTGAAGGATGGCCGGTGCTAAGCTTAAGAAACTGTGCTTTAAAGGGTACGATCTTTACAAAGATTAGAGATCGGAGTAGCTGGCACAGTTATTACCGCGGCGGTGGTCGATATCAATACGGTAGTTTTCCATTCACCGAGTAGACTCCGAAGGGGCCGGATTTTCCACCCGCAAGTGTAAGAAAATCATGATTCCCGGATTCATGACAGGATAGGACCGATAGTGTTCGATCCTTTAATTTTCATTTAAAAAAAGAAAAAGGTGTAGATATTGAGCTATCCGAGTACGCTATGACTTTTGTGAACTCGAAGCAAGGGATTAAGCGAAGTCGTGAGACGGGAATTGAAAGAGGTGGAGAAACCGACCACGTGACACAAGAAGAGCGTGCCTGCCAAGAAAACAATCCCGGGTGGCAGGACTATTTCAGAAACCGAAGCACCGGTGCTCGTGCATCAGCCAATCCTTTCCAAGTAGTTTTTCCTCGAAACAATCCCTGAAGAGATGCGACAAGTATCCGACACGGATTTTCCCTCTGGGGGAGGTTTGGTCTACTCGAGATAGGGGAATCCTGGTAAACCCTTCTCACATGATGTCACTCCTAGAAATAGTGACAGGTCGAGAATTGCGTCATACTCCTAAGTTTGGTGAAAATCCCGCACAAGGCAGCGTCCTGTGAGGGCGAGGGAGTCCTGGCTTTTCGATATTGGCGCTGATATTCTTGGCATCCGGTTTCCGACAAGGGGTCAAGCCATGTTCCGGTGCTCACCGTAAAGCCATGACTCATTCTCAAAATATCGGCGCCCCACGCTCACCCTTTCCTTAGCCTTTCAGGAAAGATGCTACGGTATTTGTGTCGACGCCGTGTTGGGGTGTAACATTGAATAGGAACTTTGGGTCGATCTGATTGAGGTGATTGAGGCTATATTCCTTTTGGGCTTCCCGGTGAGCCATTTCCCGGATCGAGTGATGTGCCATGAGATTCGGTGGGGTACAGTCGCCTACAATAGTGGCAAGGTGCCCAATCACAAGCCGGATCTTTCGGGAAGATGAGGGTTTTAGTTCACATGTGTATTTCTGGAGGTTCAGGGTTGGTGTTTTCTTGATTTAATTAAAGTTTTTCTGGTGATATTTACCCGGGGAGTTTTTATATTAAGCCAAAGAGATTGAAACTGGATCATCGTCGCCAAGGTTGTTTGCGGATTCTCCCAGGAAAACTGCCAGTAGCCAGGCCCTCAAGTCGATGAACTATTACCATTCAAAGTTATCGGAAGCCTGCTTCAACGGATTGTGAGCAATCATATAGCTAATCCCTTCTGCCTGCTTTCCTTAGACATATGCGGCCAGGTCCCCCCGCTTGAGGAAAGCCTAAACAAACTGCGAGTGGATCCGAGGCAAGAGGGTGCTCGAGTACACTCACCGAGCCCCGATAGGTTTATCACAAACCCTGAACTCCTTGCAGTCGTTAAGAGTAGTCTTCTGGCTGGTATTGTGGGTTATCAAAATTACCGGTATGTGGACATGGTGGGGCGATCGTTAGGCTACGTCCGAATATCGGGGGCTTACTAAACTGTCAGACTCTGCTACCCGTTCCATGAAATCCTCTTCCACCAAAGTCCTAGGCGCACAGTGCGCTTTCTTTGATTTCAAATTTAAAGTAGCAGCGTTGCTGGTGGTTTTGGGGTTTTGTTTTTCTGCTCTTGTGTTTGGTTAATCGTGATCGCCCACAATGTCTGACATGAGCTGATGTCACATTTTGCCACAGCAGGAATGCTTTTCTTTGCGACGCTCAAGGATGCATCAAGGCTCGAGCCTCCGAGAATTTTTATTTTTTTTATTTTTTATCTCTCCTGATTCCGTCCGCTCCCTATCCTCGACGCTCTAAGCGTGCCGAAAACGGCCCGCCCCCGCACCCCCACTAACGAAGACACCCACTGGAACGGCTCTCGCGGGACTCCCTCTCTAAGGTTGCAGATTGTGTATACTATGGGTTTATTGCGCGAACGCCACCCTCGCTGAAGGATTTCAGCAAAATTAGAGAATATATCTGCATTGCATACGGCCTGGTGTTAAAACTTGCCGAATTCCTACTTGTACATATTCGCGTGTAGAATGTTACTACAGATCGAATAAGAGCAGACCTGAATGTGTAAATGGAGTGTGTAAGATACCGGTATCAAAACATGGACTAATATGATGATCTCTACTCAATCCGGGTAAGGGATTGCAGTGGCATAGGAGGCCCCGAGGTCGCGAACTGCACCTGTTCGTAGTAATTTATAGCCAGAGCGATGGATTTTCCTTAAGGCTGTTTGCGAAATTATCGAACTTTTTAGGGTTGGTGTTTGAAATCTTGGGGAAACATCACTCACCAGATTCCAGTTAAAAACACGCGGGCCGGCTATAGAGGGTAGGGCAACACTTAGCTCACCTCCAGCACCCACTCGAGTGCCGAAAATCGGTATTTGGCTGGATTGTTCACAGCAGAGAAGGGCCGGAGACTGCTAACCACGAGTCACCGGTTTATTCTTCCAAAGATACGATCAATACAGTGGGCTGGGTGGTGTGGGGAAGTGAGAAACAGGTACACCATATTCTGTCCCGTATGATATGAGAGGTCCATATTCTCCATATACCTAACAGCTTGACCTTCTTATAGCATGATATTGAAGACAACAGAGTGGCCTATAAACACTAAAGCCGAGAGATACAGGAACTGTGCGGGCTGCCAAAGAAAAAAGGCTGGCTTCCATTAAAGTACTCTAAAATCAAAAGTTCGTCTTTAGTTGCCAGAACTAACTCTCCAAAACCACAAAAGTGTGATAGTAGAGGAGGTATCTAGGTGGGAATAGTTTTGAGTGCATTTTTCACTCTAGAGAATAGTATGAATGATTGCGGTAACATAGGGGAGAACAAACGATATTGAATATGTTATAGGTTTCAGTGAAAACTATAATACCCTTCTATAAAGTAGTGGCATTTTTAATGGCTTGGTACATGGCAGGTTGCAGACCGTGCAATAGGACCGTTATCGGGGGCTACAATAATCTCTGTTTTATTCATCCCTAAGTCACCATTTGTTCAACTAAATTGTTTTTGCTCAAGCATCTTTGTCCATGCTTCCTCTGCTAATTAATGTCTTACTGGCATCTCCACTAACTGCTCGCATTCAATTTGTGGAGGTATTCTTTACAGCGATACCAGACCAACTTTGGTTAAAACCACAATTGAAGCACAAGTCAGATTGTTATAGTAAAATTGTCAAAAATTTATATTATCCGTTGTGGTGTAACGGCTAGCATCCGTCGCTTTCACCGACGAGATCGGGGTTCGATTCCCCGCAACGGAGGTTCTATTTTTTCTGGATGCCGCCCCCCCTCGCGGACTTCCCCTGCCATCACGGGAAGCATCTCCCGAACGTTCCTTGATTTTTTTTTTTAGAAAATACCCACGCCCTGGCTAGGACGAGATGCAACTTAGATGGAACTCACTGGTAGATTGGTTCACGGCGAGTTGGTTCCCCTTCCATCTAACATCCGGTCGTAAGGTTAGACTATCCTGCAGAAAATGTCTATAATAGGGATGTGAATGAGGACTCATCTCGTAGTTATTATTAACCTGTGGTCCTTCTGAAACAGTCCAATTCATAGCCAGGCACACTTCCTCCAGGCCGGTCAGCAGCTAGCTATTTCGGGTTATGATATAAGTATTGTCTTTTTAATGTTTGAGTGACTCAGCGTCATAGGAAACATTGATTTCCTAACAACTCACCATACCGGTACTCGGGACCACCTAAAACATGATCTGCTCGAGCAGTGTGCCTGGCAACGAACTTAACTGTCTCAGAGCGACCAAGGGATACCAATATGTATTTACTTGTACTGCGGCCAGGAGATCTCAACACCCAAGAGGTCGAGCTTAGATTGTCATTCCCACCCACACTGTGGTGCCTAAATCTACTCGTACAGCATCCAGCGTCTCTGCCAAATAGACAGATGGGTTCGGTCCAAATAGAGACAGATATTTGTGCCTATTAACATGGACAATATTTCTTTCTTCCTCCCTCCGAGTAGAACCGGTCCAAGTGCTAGCGTAAGGAACCCCCCCCCCTTCTGCCCGCCGATTCCGATGGCATCCGGAAGTCTGGGCGTGGCGTTTTCACGGGTCACATCCACAAGATGCCGGCCTTGGCAGCAAGATTTCCGGATTCCGGTACGGTCCTTTTGGAATCGGCGGGTACCGTACCGGTATTGCCAGGGCTTGTTGGAGCCACGTCTGGATCCACTGTATCAGCTGTAGGTCTCGTCTTGTTTTCTAGAAAGGAACATGCCGATATGAAGGCCTCGGTCTGCCGGTATTCTGGATGCTTTTTGTGATTGGATGCCATATCGGTAACATAATGCTGGTGACCCTATACGTACTCTTGCGGGGGCGCACGAATCATCCAGTGGTTTCAGTCTTCGGTGCGGGGAATGTTGCGCTTGAGCGACGGTTGGTATCATAACCTGTCACGCACATCCAGCCCAAGGCAACAACCGCCTCATCTCAATCTCTTTATTGACACCTCAACTCCCCCCCTTCAGACGGGCACGACCTCGCAAGGCATTCTCACCACTGTTCACTGCGATACCTAAACTTGCGAGAAGCCATGATGCGCCGAACTAAAAAAGCGATCTCTCGGATATCGAACCCCAAGCCTCTAGGATCCCCTCCGCCCTTCCTCCCGGCCGAAATTCTCCTCCAGATATTTGAATACCTGGCGCCCAACAATACCCTCCCGCAATCCTCCGTCTACTCCTGCCACGGAGTGACCCTAGAGAATCCCTCTCCCTCCAACAACTACACATGCACAACGTGCCAGACCGGCTACCTTCTCTCCGCAAGCCTTGTATCTCGCCACTGGTGCAAGACTGCCCGCCCACTTTTATACCGCGTGGTTCGGATAGGGTACAGCATGTTTATACCGGGCGATGAGGAAATCTACTTCAATTGCATAAACAAAGCGTACCACGGTAGAGACAGATTCTTCTTCAACGTTTTCGATCGCGAGCGGCCTGAATACAGCAGGATTGGCACATGCCATCCCGGGCTTATAAAAATACACGAGAAGACAAAAATAGAATTACTGAACGCACGGCTAAAGACACTTCAGTTATTCCGACGAACGGTGACCGAGAGTCCGGATATCAGAAAGATGGTGGCCTGCTGGGAGTTGGGCGCGCTCTTTCCAATGCCCACGCCAGGTTGGCGCGAACAAGGAGCAAGTTCCAAGAGAGACCATGAATATTGCCACCCATTGGCAGATACTCTGGAAAGGGTTGGAGAAATTGTAGAGGCGACCATACCTTATCTCACTTCGTTACGGTGGATTGACTTCCATCTAGATCCAGATGTGGTGGGATCGTCCGCGGAAGCCCTAAGCTATGTTGTCAAGAAGTCTATTACAAGAATGACCTGGAAGCCGCGGTTGGAAGGTTGCAAATGCAATCACGTACGGCTTCAGCTCCCGATCGGCAGAACGGAATACAACGACATTCCCGCACAGAGTTATGGGCTATCAGAAAGGACTCCCAGCCTCGAAATATACAGCGACTTTGACCTGCCGCATTACAGCTCTGCGATATTCAAAGCACTCGCAGCAGAGACCTGTGAGGTAGAAATCAACCGTCCGACACGGCCTTCGCTCAGAAGAGCGTCTCCATCCCTGGAAGGCATCGATTTTCCAATGACAACATCTATGCGCTTTATTGGCGCAGGGGCGCCCACGATATCGCAGGTTATCCGACGAGAGGGGGGACGAGCTGCGGCAGCGAGAGGGATAGTGACGGCGATTACGGTGGGAGATAAAGATATCCGGTTCGCGGATCTCAGAAGCTTGCTCGCTCATTCCAAGAATCTGAAACACCTGCGCTTGGAAAATGTACGCGTTTCGGCTCCTAGGAGAGAGGATATAGAAAACTCCTCGAAAGCGACGGTTTTGAAGTCGGCCACTTTGAAGTCGGTTTTTTGGGATGTCGTCCCTAGTGACGTGGAGGGTAGACGTACCGAGACTGTTACTTATTACCTGGTCAAGTCGACCTCCGAAGACCACCTGCCCGTTCTCGAGAGCCTCTCGGGGCCCGCGAAAAGAGCGTATACGGAGTGGTGGCTGGGCGAGCTCAAACGTGTGCACCCCCAGAAGGATATCGAGATACGATCCTCGGAGAGCGAGATGGAGATGGTGTTGCGGCCTTCCACGAAAGCTGCAGGTGATGTGAGTTGGCGAGCAAGACGGAGGAGATTCTCAGTGCACGTGCTGACCCCCTTCTAGCACCTCGTGGCCGCCAGCCGCGCGCCCAGGACCCAAACAAGTGGCCGGGTATTCGGAGATTCGGTGTTGGAGTATATAATATGAATGGGGAGACTCGGGGATTTTCTGGGGCGCAACCACGTCCATTATCATGGCGTGTAGTAGTAATATTACAGTATCTAAAAGCAAAGAGTTTTAATAAAAACTCTACTTTATGACCACCATGACCGCGCTCATCGTTTGGAGGTTTGAGACGCAACATCACGAAGTCCAGGAGAACGCACAAGTAAGATATCGGTGGCACCAAGCTAGTGGTCGCCCTACTTACAACAGCCTAACCCTGCTACTGGCTGCAAGTCCGGATACAAGTCCGGGTGCGGCTCTATGAGCACATTTAACAGCCCCATCCGCAGACGGGAAATTCAAGTATCCGACTACCCACTAGGACGCCTCCACGATAGCCTCAACGTAGTAACCGGGTGGTGCCCAAGTCTCATTTCCGCAGTAGAAACATGTCCAAAAGCATCGGTACAGTACATGTGCCGGGATATATCCCTTCTTATATCGCAGCGCCAAGATCCTTCCCCAGAGCTAACTAGATTAGTTTAGGTCCGAAATTTTGTCTTGCGCTGTACGGGGGAGGAGCATCCTGCATACCGGCACTCGAGTAACTGCTGCTCCCGCGGTGTCACACGGTAAGGTTGGTGAAGTGGAAACAAAAAATGGATAAATAATAATCCAGAATAGCTGATAATAGTCATGCTTAGATAAGGTGTAGATGATAGGGTATTTGGAACTGCAGGCGCAGGGAGGGGGCAACCAACCACTCATAAAGAAGGTCCCTGCAGATACCGCAGAAGTGTTAGTGTGGTAACTTTACTGGCAAAACCCGTAAAGCCCCCATACCTTCTTTTTCACCCCAAGAACAACAATGTTACCCATTATCAACAGCAGAACAAGAGAGTTTTGCAAAACCGTTTTCGGATATGATTTGTGGGATATCACAACCCCCTGCGACTATTTTTTTTATTCCATTTTTCGCTGAACGGTGGAAAAGAGAGAGCAAGCGAAGTGTTCACAAGCCCAGTAGCGCTTGTAAGGTATGAAACTTTGTAGACGCCGATGTACTAGTACTCGTACAGTATACCTGCACACTGTGCGTGGGGGTCTAGTATGATATATACTAGAAGGACCGGTTTCTCTACTCGGAAAAATGAAGCATTGAACCACTGTGTTACTTTCCAGACCTTTCCCTGATCTCCTTCTGAGAGGCGGGTAATTCGATACATTCAGAATCCAAACTCTTTTATTCTTCAGGGAATATATTCTTACCAAGGGATCTCTAGGAAATGTTCACAATAACTCTAGGTCTGATCAAGAGTGCCTCTGAGAGCGGGTGATCCTGCCGGACAACACAACCCGCCCAAAATCGGGGTGTGGTCAAGTTAGAGGGCGAGCGCACAGAATCAGAAAAGCACCAGGAATTGAAACTACAGGCGCAATTCTTCCACCTACGATGGAGAGGTTAGAGTACTTTTCCCAAAGGGAGGCCATCTAGATTCTCTGTTACTGCTGAACCTATTATATAATACTATGGCCGGCTCAGAGCGGCTACTATGGCCCCATAGAGAAGATGGTCGTGGCGGCCATAATCCAGTTGCTCAACAAGCAGCACACTCCACAGATCTGCATCGCGTACGTTTATGTCAGCTATACTCTATCTTGTTAATTAGTGCAAGAGAAATCTGACAGAAAATGACCGTTCGTAACTTGCAAGGGATCTGCGCATACCGCATCGCGGCGTGCATTTCAATTGTAAAAAGAACGATGGATGTACGAGTAGTGTGGGACTTTTGGGTGTCCCAGCCAACTGTCGAGTGAGGTTCTGTGCTATGTTGGTATTTGTGATACATACGGTAGCATGTTGCCTTCCATCGCCCCTGTTGGTGGAACGTGATACCATATTGTGGCAGTGTGCCTTACCGTACGGTACTTCCCCAGTCGACATTACTCGAGTACCGCACTGCCGCTCATGCGAATGAAACATCCCTCGCCGATTCCACTGCCGCAGGTTATCCCACTCGCATTCCTATCAAGGCCCTTGGACTTACTATGCGATAAGGTCGGGTCCTAACAACGACCTTACCGAGAATAGGGCGTACAGCGAATACGAGGTGACTCAGCCGTTGGCTCAAATGTCGAAATGCGGCATGAAAAGCCAAAAATAAAAAGCCAACTGCCCCAAATATAAAATGTCACCCGTGCGATATTTATTTTTCACTTTTGCATCCGACGAGAACTCTACTGAATTCCCAAAAGATAGAGAGAGAGAGAGAGAGAGCTGGGGCTTCTAGCGCGTATCATATCTCAAATTCCCAATTTTAACTCCCCCCCCCGCGCCAGACCCTAAGGGACCTACACCCAATGAGTGAAGCCCTAACTGGACAAGCCGAAAACGATGCGGCCCCAACTCACACGCCTTATCCACATACTCTAAGCTTTGACACGTTCGTGAAACGCTATGTCCCGGTTCTAAAGGAAGCCGTCCAACAGGGGCAACGGCCCCCTTTCCCCTCTAAAGCAAGGTTTATGGGGACCCTAAAGTTGCACGGCTATAATGCAACAATCGTATTATCCCCCTCCCCCATCACTCTCCCTACTGTCTCTATTTATTTATTTTCCGCAGACCTCTTGAAGGCTGGGTGAGGGCACGAGAATTGAAATTAATCCGATGAAATAAAATTGCAGATGTTCCGTACCAACGATCGGCACAACCCAGTCTTTCAATCACGCAACCGGGTGGTAACATCCCAGGACAAAGGACCAATCCCTTCACTCCTGAACGGCAAACCACTGCACCTGCTCGTGGATAAGATAATGAAAACCTACAACCTGTGGAAAGGGCGGCCGGACGGCGCCCCGTTCTCTGAAATCATGATAGCCGGCGAGGTCGCTGGGCGCGACATCTACAGGAATGTCGCCGTCAATCGGCTTCCCCGGTTCTTCTGCATTTTCAACATCAGGGTGGACGGGACGTGGGTGGACATGCGCGAGTACAAGGATGTGTCAATGGAGTCTGAGCGCATTTTCAATATCATGAACTGGCCGACGTGGGAGGCGACAATCGACTTTCTGGAGGATACGACAGAGATTTCAAACTGGCTGTACGAGGTCACGAAGAAGGTGGAAGACGAGTGTCCGTTTGCAGCGTCGTTCTCGGACTCCAGGGGGAGGAAAATATCCGGAACCGGAGAAGGTCTGGTCTGGACCGTGATACCGTTTGAAGGCGAAACCTGGCCGAGCGATTGCACGACGCTGTGGAACTTCAAGACCAAGGGGGAGAGGTTCGAGGTCGTCAGCCGGATCAAACCCACCCCGCCAAGTGACCCCGACGCCATCGGACTGGCTACCGCGTTTGTAGACTACGCGATCACAGAAGCACGATTTGAGCAAGGGATTGAGTACTTGAGGGAGATGGGAATACTGGAGCATGGCCGGAACGGCAAGAGGAGCACCTCCCAATTCACCAAATGGGTGGAAAACGACGTGATCGAGGAAGAATGGGAGAAAATGGTGGAGTTGGGCGCCGAGGAGGCCAAAGTGAGGAGGGTGATTGCCGAGCGGGCGAGGAATTGGTTTTTCCGCTATCTCCAGGAAGTGCCGCCGCAATGTCTAGCCCCTGCTACAGACATGTAATGGGGATGAGATGATAATCGCTGCTTGTGCCCAACCTACCTACTGTAGTCTTTACATTGCACGCATCAAGAATAGATCACAAGCCCTTCTAGCTTGCTATCGCTATCGGGTAAATAAAGTTGACAGCTTCATTCCAGCAGACGTTTTATATGTTTGTTTTTTTCCACAATTTCCGCTCTTTACTTAATCAAACCTGCCCACATAGTTCGCAGTTAACACTTGGCATGGAGAATCTGCGGTTCGTCCAATTGCCGATATAGAGGGAGGAAAAGTTAATATAATTATAACTGAACCGCACTATAGAGTATCATACTAATCGATACGATACTCATGCACGAGACTGAGGGTGCAATAATTCAAGCTCTCATAATTCCAATGTCGATACATCTAGCAAACCCAAGTACTCATATAATCGTTAAGTAAGGGAAGCCTCTGGTTGGATTAAAAACCTAATCAGCCAGCCAGAAGGCTGCCGCTTAGGTGATGTATGGGTACAGTACTTCACACTAAGACCGCTCAAGTTCCCAGTTCGATTAGCGGCATGTCTGTCGAGGAGGTCTAGATTAGTATGATATGATATGATACTCCAGGGAACTGTGGGACCCCCAGGTTCCCCATACCCTTAAGTCCATCTTGCCCAAGCACAGAATGGGTGTCTCGGCGGGGAAATACAGTACGGTATGTTCGGCATGTGGTTGCTGTAAGAATCCTTTAAATCCGTCATCACCCATACACCTCAGATCTAACCAATCTGTGTTTGTAATTTCGTTAACCTAGTGCTAAGCCTATTGTGGTTTATAGAATTATTTACCTTGAGATCTCTGATGGTGGATTCAAAGAATTCTGAAGGGTATTGTGGAGTGCTAAGGTAAGGGTGCACGGACAAGAAGGTGGGCGGCTAGGGCTACTTTTATTTCTTTCTTCTCGAGCAACCCTTAAAAGAGGCGGTGAATCTTACCGTATTCATTGGGAATCACCCATTCCACAAGCTTACTAACTCTTTCCTAGTCGTAGTAACCCAGGAACAGATAACTCGAGTCATGGACCGAGTAATCCACCCCCCGGCAGCCCTTAGCCTAATAACTTTCGGCTTTTCTCTCGGTCTACAAACTAGGTCGTATCTCGGGAAGGTATAAAAGTAGAGTAAAAAAAATAAAAATCATACAATCCATACCACCCAGGATATCTTAAGAATCAACTTCAAAGTCAGCTTGATCAGCGACATGCTATTAGGTTATTCAAGCCCTCGAATAAACACCAAACTGGAGTGAAGAAGGCTTGTTGATTTTGAAGGAAAGGTTATGGCTAATACAGGGTCGAAGTTACCGGTCTTTGAGATCCACTGCCATCACTTATTATAGTTACTGAAATGGATGCGGGGATGTGGGGATGTGGGAAGGTGTTTCGGAATTAATACCTGTGGTTCTAGTGGAAAAATAATAATAATAAAAATAAAATAAAAACCCTTGTCCATCCCTGGTAGACTCCACCATTTATCATACTGATCTCCGAAATACTCGGGTTGACAATATTGGCGCATCGTTCCAATACTTGCGCCGCACTGAAAACCCCCTTGTGAAAGCTGCTGCTTCCAACCCTAACCCTACAACATGATCATAAAGTTAGGTCTGTTGGTGAAAATAGCCATAGCCTTCTCTTGTAAATAGACTGATACTGGTATAAAGGCAAAAGCTCTGTGACCGAGAGAGATTCAGTATTCAGCAAATGGTCTATACAAGTAGGGAGCAATTTGCGCAAATAAAATAAGCCTTGTCCCAGTTTTGTGACGCGGAATTGATATGACACAGGGGTCCAGACACTACAAAAGAATTCATTACTGAATCCCGGCCATCCCTTCATTCGCCAACCAGTATGGCCTCTTCCATACCGCGCGAAACAGAGCTTAACTGCAGCCTCCCACAACCCCTGATCTGCCTACCCTTTCCCTAGCACAGAGCCGCACAGAGCCTCAGAAGCGCCTCAAACAGCAACGCCGTCATCATCCATCGACCCCTACAGTCATCACTTTTCCCACCCTCCTCTACCTTCCTCCACCATCACCCATCCATCGATCAGCGCAACAGCAACCCCACCCCAAATCCCGTATCTCCAATGTTCCGCCACCCCCTGCACCGCATCCGCCCCAAACCAATATTTCTCACCTCCCCCCTCCTGACCCGGACAATAACCCACCGTGCAATCCTGCCCCGCCTGCTTTCCGCCAAAGTGTCTTCAAGCCACTCCTTTCAGCCCCGCAAGTTCTCAACTCAAGCCACCCCACCACGGCTTCTGGAAATGCACGAATACCATGTCATTGCCGACGCAAGTCTCGAAATACTATGTGGGGCATTTGAGGGGTTGACAGAGGAACGAGATGATATTGACGTCGAGTTCAATGTTTGTCCCTCCCCCCCTGCGCACCCGCACACACACTCTCTCTCTGCTGGAATGTAGCTATTGACGGCGAGAGGATAGTCCGGCGTATTAACCCTCGTCCATCCAAATGGGATCTATGTCCTGAACAAGCAGCCCTTTAATAGGCAGATATGGCTAAGCTCCCCTGTGAGCGGACCGAAACGGTACGATTGGAATTGTGACGATTGGGTGTCAGCCCGGGATGGGAGTCGGATGAAAGATCTATTGGAGGAGGAGGTTGGAACCAAGGTTGGGTTTGTGGGGCTGGATCCTATGAATTCGTAGATTCTCTGTCCCTTTCCTTCTTGCTCTCCTAGCTCTCTTATTTTCTCACCTTCTGGCTTCTGTAGCTTTACTCTGCGCCCTCGGGCGATACACGGGCTACTGGGGATCGTAATACCAAAACCTTGCTCTTCTAGAAAAAGAAGTCTTCATATGAAGTGAGCGGGTTTGTGCAAGTTATTTAATTTTCGGAAACTTCAAAGACTTCCCCCCCCCCTTTTTTTTGGAAACCGTTGAACGCCCAAATGAGTACTGTACAGCACAACCCAACAAGCAAACAAATATCCACCCCATAGCCCGCACATCCGGGTTCGGATATACGAGCGTAATCTTCCCTTGTCCGGAACTACCACCTCAGAAGCATCCAATCCAATCCCCCGAATCCCACTCAGGCGGAAACTGCAACCGCAACCGCAGTTTCCATCTTCCCCTTCAAACCCTCCTTCTCCGCACTCGGCAAATCAGTCTAGAAACCCATCCCATCCCCATCAGCCCTCACACATACTCCACACAGCGCAACGGGAAGGAAGGGCAACAAAACTCACAGCCTCAAAAATCACCCGAATCATCAAGGAACAACTCGGGCACACGGCGATCTCCTCCCCATCGCGCAGGTCGTTCAGCAAGATCTCGAATCTGTCGCCGCAGGGGCAAGGATATGTGTACAGGTTTCGCTCCTTGTCGAAGGTCATGTCCTCTATCTCTATCTCGTCGTAGATGGAGTCTGTCATGGTGGCGGTTACGGTCGCGGTATTGGAGTAAGTTAGCTGGGTGGGTGAAGTTTTCCGAAGTCAAGTTAAGGTGGATGTGTAGCGCTTGCTTTTTTTTTTGGTCATATGTCACGTGAGGTGTAGCCCGCCGTAATACTACAATATCGACTATGAACTCCTAGTACTTGTACCCGCTGCTGGTGTCACAAGGCAATGCTACTAGGGAAGACTAAATTTAAGGTAACTCTGGCAATAAGTTTATTCTTAGATATTTCCTCCACGACGTTTTTGTTTTTTTCCTTCAAAAAAAGGCACAGCCGATCCGGCAGCAGGGCCTTGGGCATTGAAGGCGCGGCAACTCGAGACTTGAGAAAACAAGGTGCAGCGCAGCACCCTGCGTATGATAGCATAATGCGTCCGGAAACGAGACAGGGTCATCACCGCCGATCTCCAGTGGTCGTCTACTTATACCGTAGTCGCATGATACTTTATGACATCTTCACATACTCACCACCACCACCACCAGACACAAAACTCCGTATAAAACTACCATAACCCCTTCAGGCCCCTTCCCATCCCACGATCCAACAAAAGAGAGAGAGGAAGAAGAGATGTACGAACCCCAACCTCCGATGTCCACTACCGTTACCCCCTCCACCACCACCACCGCTGCAGAACCGGACGCTACACGAGAGGGGGAAGAAGAGCAAGAAGAAGAAGAAGGTGTCGCCGCTACCACCACCGCTGCGAAAACCCCCGACCGTCGTCGCATAAAGATTGGCGGAAAGCGAACCGTGTCGGCCGACTGTATGAACTTCCTGAATACCTGCCTTGGCGGTACGCTCCTGGCGATGGGGGAGTGCGCGGTAGCGTTCTGCGGGTGCTACTAGTTATTTTTTTTTGCTGCTCGGTCGTGCGATTGCGTTCGCGGGTGTGATGGTGGTGGGGGGTTGCTGCTGCTGTTTTTGTTTTTTTTGCACTGGTATGTTGCTGCTCTTCCTCTTTCTCGTGTTACGCACTGTACCTTCGTGGAGGAGGTGGGGCCGGCGGGGGAGTGCTAATTGATTGGTTCGCAGAGGCGCCGTGCCATGCCTGCCTGCTCCGCTGGGTGGGTTGCTTACTCACGGATCGGACTGGAGTTTGGAGTTTGGAGTTTGGTGAATGTCGAGGGGTTGATTGATATGATACCTGGAGTGTTCCATTATACTTGTTATGGGTTGTTGTTGCGCTCTGTGTTGTAGTTATGATATATCTTCCGCGCTGGTTGCAGCTGGAGCTCAGCACGATAATTAATTACCGGTTATCGGGACGGCGTCAATTAAGGCATTGTATTGGCCCGGGAGTTTCTCCCCTTAATGGACCGCAAACCAAAACAGGACAAAACAGAGATAAAATTAAAAAAAGACGCAAAAATAAAACCAGTAAGACGAGGCAAAATCGCTAGGAGGACCGAAAAAAAAAAAAAACAAGAAACAAAAAAAAAAGAGAAAACAATCATCCAGACTAAAAAACCAGCCTGCCCCATCAATTTGACCCGCTCCTGCCCTGTCTTCACGACGCCAATTCTACGGTTCACACCTCCCCCTCTCCCCAGAGGCAGTATGGCTACTGCTTGCGCTACCGTTGGTGGCTGCAGACTCGCAAGTCGCCGCATAAAAGCACCCGCCCGACGCCCCCAGTCTATTAGCGTCCGGAGCGCGATCGTCCTCCAATGTCGCCCTATCTTCCATTTTCACACTCATCTCAGTATGCTGGTGGATCTTCCACTCGGGCTTCTCCTCCTCCTCGGAGCTCCCGTTGACCAGGGTTGCGTCTCCGCTGTTCGATCCTCCCGGCCGCCCCGATCGAGGTGATCCGCCGCTTCCCGATCCAGCGCCCCCGTATAGGGCGGTTACCGCCCGAGCCTTTGACCAGGCCCTCTTGGTGAGCAGTTGCTTGAGCATTGGCGCGTTGCCGACCACTACTGCGACGAAAGTTTCTCGACAGGCCCACGCTGAGACGGTCCTTGAGTTTTGGGGGTCTGTGAGGGAGAAAACGCAGCGGAGAATTGCAGCGGTTATAATGAAAATGCCTGCGCTAAATAGGAGAACGAGGATTGCTTTTCGGCGCCAGGGAAGAGAGGATCGGATCAGCAGTGGCAATGGGAGGGATATGAGAAAGGCATCTGTGAGGACGTTGAACGATAGAACCGTCAGATAATATACTGGAGACTCTATGCTACAGTTCGCTACTATTCAGTCAAACAACTGTGCGAAAGTGCGTAGATGGTAAGAATGAGTAGCAGACGCACGTCCTGGGTCTGGGCGTATTTGCCACAGCTTGTTCCAGGGCCTGGCACCCACCCACCAGTATTAGCTAGCACCACCCAAAGGCACGACGAAGGGCAAGGCGAGGACAGCGCACCGACAGGTCAGGAACAGCACAAGACATATGATGAAGTAAGACACACCCACGATAACGTAGGCTCCCGTGATCCAAACCTGTCTTCTTAATCCTACCCTGCAGCCTTATCAATTCAACCCAAAAAAAAAACCACGCGCATCGAGACCCAGAGCACGTACGTGATTCTAGCAAAAAAGAAAACCATGCACAGCTTCAACATCCACATCGCACCACTATAGGTGAACCACCCAACCATAAAGAGCTTCGAGCCAAACACCCTCCTCTGCACCTCCTCCTCGCTCATCTCCTCCCGTTGGGCGGGAGAAAGGTTCGAGTTTCCACCGTAAAGGCTGACCAGATGCGACATGGTGGACTCGATTCCGTAGATGATCTAATAAGTCAGCCTCGTCACACTCACCATTACTAGAGAATCATCAACCATGACCAGAATCATCAACCAATCATCAGGTTTGCTGCCTTCGATGCCCACCATCTTGTACCGCGTTATCAGGCGCGCCAGGATTACGCATACGCCCAGAGCGTACAGTGTCCATCCCTCCACTAGCAGAGGATCAGGTCCATCACCGTGGCCACCATCTCGAGCACGCAAGGTTGCGTATGTTATTGGCGGTGCCATTCCATACGATCCGATATTCCGGGGTGCGAAATGAGAGTTGAGAGATCTGGGCGTGAAGGGACCCAGTAGCGCTGCCATCACAATATGTAGATAATTTCATGGTCAATAATGGGCATCGCGAATATCGAGCTAACTCGGTGTTGCGGCGGTGGTTGCTGGCTTCGGTGTTAGAGAGGCCATGATTGCAGGTGTCTGTTCGGTGCGCTTTGGCAGCGGTGATAATGGACTCGGGTCATTCAACAATGCCAATAACGATATCGTGCGCACGATGTCGCCTGCTATCATAGGTGACATGCAGAACAGAAAGCGGGGGTGTGGATATCCAGGGCATCCACCGCGGGACCGTGGACCCGCATCACCCAGCGCCCACCCGAGGGCACGCCATTTAGTAATGAATTCCCACGAGATCGTTTGATCCCCCCAGTGCAAGCCGCTGCTCGTTTAACCTAAGTTAGAATACAGGATGTGTGCAGCCCAGTCCAGCCGGACCCAGTTCAATACCGGCGCTTACCCTGCCCGTACACCACAAAGAAACGAGTGAGACATTTCCCACAACCCAGATCCACTCCGTTCCACGAGTTGGTACCTGCACTCGAGTGCCGTATGATACTGGTGCTCGAGTATGTACGCTGCCCTTATCGATAGTCGGGTTCCCGTAATATACGGTAATAGGTGATGCGCTACCGTATTGCGACCGGGGCCGCCAATTATAGACCCCTTGAAATTCAGCCCTGTTTGACCTGTAATCAACGATGGCAAACCTACCGCTTTCGAGCGGGTAGATGGGCTGTTCCGAGATCTCTCTGCTAATTTACAGTTCACACACTACCGGTTCTATCCGCCGCGGTTCGGGTTAGCCGCCCGGATGCTTAATTGTTGCGTTGGGGTCACCTTGTACGGGTACCTAAGAACATACGCGATCATACCAAGCACTGTCAACTACAGTACCGGTATATACTCGCACAATCGTACCGTAGTTGACCCGGGCCGAGGCGGCATGGGTGGGGCCGATCCTTACCCAAACATGGATTCAGTGCTGCACAAAACGAATCCTAACATTGACCGATTCCAAAAGAGATATTAAAATTAGTCTTGGCTATATCTGTTCCGAATCACCAGTCCTACTCGATGTTCGTTTTACGGATGCTTCCTCCCTACCACATGTTAGTAGGAAACGAGGAGCATGATCCTAGCGCCGTGTTTGGCATTGTTTTCTTCTTCCTTTTTTAGGGGAGGAGGAGGGGGAATCCAGAGTATACTGGGCGAGTGATTGTTCGTGGACAGCTTTGAGTAGGGAATGTGAAGCAGTATTAGCTAGATGGGAGGATGAGAGATGTTTGATCGATTGGTAGTCTTAGTGAAGTTAAAGTAATGGAAGGGAAGGACATACGAGAGGGATACAGTTCAAGCGAGTCTTATTAGGGCAGGGGGTCATCTTCAAAGAATCAACCTTACCCCGCTATGAGATGTCACTATCATCACCTAACGAGGTGGAACACGCGTCCCAATGAACCCTCTCTTCTCGAGCAAACACGAGAATTTCCTTCCCCCATCATTCCCTCACCTCTTCCCCCTTCCTTCCTTCCCCCTTCCTTCTCCTCTCGCCTCCAAGCTTGTTCCTTCCTGCACCCCCCGCTGTATATAAACCCACCTACCCTCTCACATATTCTCCTCATTTCACATCCTCATCCCTCCAACTCTTATACTACCATGTACTCGCCTTCTCTTCTTTCCCTGCACTATATTCATTAATATTTTCCCTCCTCGACAACAAACATCGTTATTGTCTTCCCTATTTCAACCACACCTTCCCTATCCACCGTCATACTCTTATTCGTTTGCCGGGGCCAGACTTCTAAGCAAACTTTGCAACTAAAATGGCAATTACTAAAGATTCCTCGCCTAACCACACTTCCCGACCGGATTTCGGGAATCACGGTTCGGCTCGCGGTGCTCCTTTGAAGCCTGCCTACCTCGACTCCAGTGACCCGCCCCGGGGAGAAGATAAAGACCTTCTCGACTCGATCATTCAGAAGAACCTTCGTGATTTCTTGGCAGGACAGACTGCTGCTAATGCAGCAAAAACTGCCTCTGCTCAGTCAGGAATGGAAGCCCTTTTGCCAGCGAATGATGCAAAGGTGACTGAAAAAGATTTGACTGTTGCTCGGGATGCAAATCCTAACAATATTTTGACTAGTACCCGGATCGGTACTTTTACGGACGATACCGACTGCGACCAGGTCATCTGGGAAACTGATTCCTCTCGCAGTGTAAAAGATGAAGATGGCGATATAGTCCTTGAAGATGCTCCTGATCACCTTCATGCCAGACAGCCAACCAGCGGAGGTGGGCCGACTGATACCGCCATGGGCAATCATAACGATGAGGATTTTCGCAAACCTCAATCTAAAGAGAACGCTTGCCCATTACAGATTGGAACAATCGATAACGATGATAGCGCGGAGGAAGGGGAAATTGGTTTGTCACCCGATTGATAGATTGTGCACTGTATGCTCACACCCTCTAGCCCCGCTAAAGAGAGCCTTTAGTCGCAACGGGAATACCATTCCTGGGAATGTGACCGATTCACCAGCGCATCTGGATCGATATAGGCCGAGCTATTACCGAGCCTATGCAACCTCCCCTTCTGCTCCCGACACAGTCCAGAGAAGAAATTTTCGGAGGCCCGCCTCCGTTTGCCGCTTGAACATTCCCCGCGAATTGTTAGCAAACTTACACCGAGACCCCCGGTTTGACCAGTACTGTCATGCATGGATTAATCGTCCAGACTTCTGCGGCCGTGGCGATGAGTGCTATTATGCACATATGTACCCTCCTGGAACCGTTGAGGAATTTGGGATCCTCACCCTCGATATCGATGCCAATGGATCGGTTTTTAGCGGGCAAGATGGGGGAGCCGAGCAGAGAGAGTCAAGGTGGTCTCGTTACTTACTCCCAGGTCGCCAGGAGTATACTCCTGGCTGTTATGACCGTATCTGCAAAGATTTTGAGAGGGGTCTTTGCAGACGGGGGCCAGAGTGTTGGTACCAACACTCAACCGATCCGGCTGCCATTAGACGTCGACAGGGTGTTTTTTGGAAGAGTAGAGTGGATAGCAAGCTTGAAGCTCTCGCGAATACTAATCGCTTTTTCATGAAACCTTCTTTGAGAAGCAATTATTCTGGCCAAAATAGGGCGTTTATCAAGCCAAATTATTACGGATCATCGCTTGGTAGGACCAGAACCGGCTTGTCTCGCTCTCAGGGGATAAATCCCTCTTATACTCGTCAAGACTACTCCAGAGCAGTCTCCCCTTCGATCAGAGATTGGGAGGAGGCATCGATCGCGAGTTGGAATGCGATCGCAGACAGGAATGCCAGAGAGTATGCGGGTCAGCAAGAGAGGCTCATGTATCTCCATCGGGAATCGCAGAGGCGCCGAACCGGAGCTGCTTCAACCCGCCCTACCGCCTCCGCCGCTGGGCCAATTAAGATCCAAGGAGTGAAATCTAAACAATCGCTCTCTGGCAAAAATGAGGAGGGTTCCGGGGATTTCTCTGAGGAGAATCCGTTGGTGATGGGCGACAGAAGTGGGTCGGTGGATGTGCAGACATCTGGAAAAGCCAATGAGGGAATCTTGATATCTTTCCTATGCTAGGTATATCTAATAGTGGTTCATAGAAGAATCAAAAGACTGATATTTATTTACGTGACTTATTTAGGTAACTGAGGTCGTTCCTCTTTTCTTTCCTCTAGCAGGTAAATCCAGCACTGGCTCGCAGAAGAACCGAAGAACTGATATTTTATTTAGGTAATTACTCGTAAAGGTGGTTATTCCTATATTGGAATAAGGGTGGGTGGGAGGAAAAATCTTGCTGATGGTACAGTACATGTCCCATCAGTTGCGTTGTTCAACCATTTCTGTTTTTTTTTTGGTTTTTTTTCTATAAAAAAATCATTTGGCTACAATCTCCATTTTTCTAGCTGCAAGTAACCTCTTAGTACAAGACGGATTTTCAATAATTAGTTTGTGCTAGCGATGAGGTTTAAAAATGACAAGTTTACATTTTCCGAAAGGGGGGAGGTGGGGGGAATGTAGATAGGTTTTGCCGGCTATTGGGCCGGCACTATTTAGTTACTCTCTGGCATTGATGCTGCCTAATAAATTTCTGTGGTGACATGTCACTTTCTAAGTGAATTGGGAGAGATGTTGGGATCAAGTTATACTGTGCAGTACCGTACCGTGCCACAAATAGTACAATATGGTAGTGCAAAAAAAATAAAAAATTAGTGCATTAGAGAGTTTGCGCCGGCAGACCCAGGTGGTAGTTATTATACCGGAAAGAGTTTGTGCATAGGATCCAGGTGACTTGGTGGCCAGGTTACAGTGGCTGAGTCCAATGTGAGGTGTTGATAGCCAGAGCAGCAAATATAGAATCAATATTATTGCATGACTATCATATTTTTCTATCCTTTATTTCTCTCAGAGATGCTTTGTATTTATCTCTCCTTGGTATCCATAGAAATATCTTGGTGTTGTATATTTTTGACATTGTTACCTAGAAACTTATTCTAGGTCTTTAATGTTGACCCTTGGGCCTCGACCAGGTGCATTTGGGCACCCAGGTGTCCAAGCCTTTTAGCATAACATATATTAATGAAATTTACCGCCACCTAAGTCTGCGGGCGCAAACTCTCCATTCACGGAATGTAATTTATTCCCGTATCTCAAGTTCGCACCATTCTTTAGCGCCTTTGAGGGTTCAGCGAGGGAAGGAGATGGATAGATTGAAGAAATGATCGATGTACCTGTTCTAGTACTGTACAGTACGGTACTCGAGTATCATATCATACCGCAACCCGGCTACCGACTGTATGCATGATGGGTCAGGGAGAATCAAGTGGACAAGGCAAACCCCGAAACCCATATCGAGGATCACGGTAATGTATCTCCATGGCGTGCATAATCGGCTCTTCCACTCAGCCTTCTTCACAGATGCGGTACTGTACCGTACAGTACCGACACGGTAGTGGCGGTGGTGGAGGCTTCCGGGGTACAGTACCTTATCCGGTCAGTTGATTGGTCATTTGGCGCTTCGTTCGAGCACCGGTACTGGTATGATACTCCCAAGGGATGGCAAGCGTTGCTTCTGGTACTGGTGTCACCCGCGCTGTGTTGATGCGGTTTGCGAGCCAAGAATTCCCAGATGCACGCTTACTTTTATTGGACTAGCAGATTGGAATAAGGTACTATACTCGAGCACTATATACAGGGTGTTTACCTTTATCCCTTTTTCTTTCTTTTCGCAGGCTCCTATCATAGCTGCCGTACTGTGTTTAGCCAAGGGATAATTTCACTTGGACATTTTCAAGGCGTGAGTGGATTTTACGTGGTATCGTGCGTATATATTCTCCTATTACTACACTACTACTCTACACATTCCCAATGCTGTCGTATGCTATGCTATGCTATGCTGACAAAAGAAATAAATGCAAAAAAAAGGAAAAGATAAAGATAAAGACCACGCTATGCAATGCAAATGCAACTCACTATAGACACATCACCACCACCACCTAATTAGAAATCTCGATAATAGCTGGTCCAGCAACGATAGTCTCGTCCGAAACCTTCTCCCGTCCATTGACGAGCACAGCGTAACTCTGTCCGTTGACCCCGGCCGGCACGACCACATCGAATTGTCCGAACCCGCCCGAATAGCCATTCACGAAAACGGCATCGACGAATATGGGACCGGTAACGGTCAAGAACGCAACGCTGAGTCCATCCCTCTTCGTCTCCACCCCGGGTGCGAGCGAGATCTTGCTCCCAGCCTTGATCACGTATCCTTCACCGCTGGTTGTGTTCGCCGCGAGCGACAGGGTGGGGAAGGCCTTGAACGGCAACGGCGGGTTCTCGGGTGGGCAGGAGACTATGAATTGCGAAGCGAGGGAGAAGACCTGGTTGAAGTCCAGCGGGACGTCGAATGGTTGAGCCACGGGGTTCTGGTTCTGCGCGGCGCGAATGAGGCTGCTGTGGCGCGCTTCTATCGTCAGGATGCTGCCGGCGGCAGTCAGGGTGAGTTTGTCGGCGATGCTGGCGGCGGCACCTAGGTATGCCGTGACGCCCACGCCCTCAAGCACGCCGGACACGAGCACGAACTCCTCAGCGGTGGTGACGGGGAAGGCGTAAGTGCACGGTTTGACGGCAGGGATACCGGCGGCTGCGAGGGCGGATTGCAGGAACTGGACGTGGGTCTTCTCGTCCGATGCTATCGTCTGCAGGGTTGGGAAGAGCGTGGGCGGGAAGGCGGAGAATGAGGCGGCGCTGGAAAAGTTCTGAAGCCCCTGGGTGTAGAAGGCATCCTCTAGGTGTTCAAGGGTCAGGGCATAGTTCAGGATTACACCGTCATTGATGTGATCCCTGGTAGCGAGTGGTGCGGCATTGACCGCAGCGGGGATGGTCATGAAGCCAGCGGTGAGGGCGAGTCTGGTAGGGAAATGCATTTTCAAGACGGGGAGTGGGAAATAAAATGAAATGCGATGCGATGCTATGCTATGCTATGCCGTGTGTATAAGAGGAAAGAAAGAAAGAGAAAAAGGCGAAAACAGGAAATAGGAAACAGAACAGAAAGAAACCCGATGAGAATGTGAGTGCAAGATGAAGACCAACCGAGTGAGTGAAGAAGAAACTCCCATCGAGCGTGCACATCCCAATATATATACACCATCCCATCCCACAAAAACGCCACCCATCGATAAGCCCGATTCCGAATACCGGTATCCGCCCAAGAAGAAGACTCAGCCTCCTTTCAAATCCACTGCAGGTCCCCATCGTTCTAGACTACCCTCTATCAGATGGGGTCCGGTCAACCTACACCGGGTTGACATATCCAGGGAAAAACCACCCAATCCCTGCGCAGATCACGCAAGCGCGGCCCAAAATAACGACGGCCGGCACAGAGGCTAAATTTAAGCTTCTCGCACGGGTGGTGGTTGGGGCCAAGTGTAGTCTCAGCCCCAATCGTTTCATCGGTGGGGAGCGGTTGGTTGTGGCGCTTAATTTAGAGTGTCTGCGGTGTGGTTGGTCACTTGTAGATTACCTGACTGCTCCAGCCACCAGACTAAGGGTTTGGGGGTTAACTTGGGTGACCTGCACAATCGATGATACCGCGTCCACGGCCGAGGCGGCCTTTCACCTGACGGATGATAATAATAGCACTTCCTGGGCTAAGTGCCGATCGGCACCCCTCTAATCCGAGTTTTCCTCTGGCTTTCGAGCTAAAATTCTGTGAAATTCGACATACGAAGGGAGGATAATCCTTTGTCCCGCTCTTGCCCTTACGGTATCCAACGTTAGCGATGGGAAACATGGGCCCACCTCGCTGCTCTGAGTACTCGAGTACCATACCGATACGTTAGGTACGAGCGGTTACATAAGCAACAAACATTAGTGAGCGTTACCGTACTCGGGGGTAACGGTAAGTCGTGTGCGCTTCCGAAATAGGCAGGGTTTTTGTGCACAAACTAGGTCAAATCAGGAAATATGAGTGATACCTGATGACTAGAATTGGTGGGGATCAAAAGTCGGGTGCGCTCAGTATGATTCCCCCCCTATTGCTTTGGTGCTGCTCCACCCAAAGCTGGCTCAGGGATCAGCAGTATCACTAGATTGCCTTTAGAGCTACTACTTGTGTTTGAATTTAACATCTATCTGGATCTGAGTGATGGAAGGGTATTTTTGTAGTCATTGTGGTCTTCGGGACTAGGACTTGAGCAGAGACGATGAATTTGCAATTAAGATAGGGGTTTGGTTACCCGGTCTAAAAATATGAGTTCGAAAGCTGCCAAGAGCAGCAATGGCAGCGCACCCGACTTACCCCTGTACCCGAGTACACAAGCACCGTATCATACTCTACCGTACTCGTACTTGTACGAGTACGAGTACGGTGGCTTTCATACGAGCCAATCACACCGCCCCCGCCCCCGGTATGACGCCGTCCCTCAACTTACACCCCGAGCTCCGACACCGGTACTCGAGTGGCTCCAGTTTGGATTACTGTAGTGCACAAAACCGGTATCAGGGTCCGGTAAGATGTAGTGCACATGATACTCAGCAGAGGGGGACAACGGGTATGACTGTGTTCTAGAAAAAGGAAAGAAGCAGAAAGCAAGCCTATCACGTGGGGCCCATCCACTTACCGCAAAAACTCACCAAACTCGCTATGCAGAGAGGAGAATTTTAGCACTAATGTGTGGCAATACAGCCAAGATCATTCCGGTGACCAACCTATTTTCTCTTAGCTGATGGGACCAACATCATTATTACAGTATTTCATGTAGGAACCGGCACTGATATACAGCTATTCTCAGGTGTTATTCTCATTTTCCGTCATTTCTCAGGGTAAAAAAGCTCCTATCCAATCCCTAGCGCCAACACCTGCATAGCGAGTTTGGCGAGTTTGGCGAGTTTTTGCGGTAGTCTACCTACGGTGCAGTGCCGAGAACGAGTGCCGGTACTTGCAGGGCACGACACGTGTTGATTACTCGAGGGGCCGTATCCGAGTGCCGGTGCAGTACCGAGGCTACCGTACTCGTACTGTACTCGTACAATTCC